CTACTAGTTACTTCTGGCACTCAATGGTAGTAGGGTAGCCTCTACCAGGCATCTACGGAGGATGGCACCCAGGATAGCTCACTCCTAGAGATCTCTAGCAACTATGTAACATAGCAACTCTAGCAACTCTTGCTTTTGTATATTTTATATTGTAAATATAGCATAGGTGACAGAGAATCAAGAAAGATAAGCAGGAAAGGTCACCAGTTTTCATGATTAGAATGTTAAATTTACATAATATCTTCCTTTCCCACCAAGATTACTAGGACCATGAGTGGCAGACAGTTCCTGGATACCCTGAAGCAGATTGGCTATCCAAAGTCACATGACTACCAGCCGGATGATTTTGATTGGCTGTTTGAGAGTGAGGCTGCGGCTCCATTTTTGAGGTGGTTCTGTGACCATGTCGGACCTGACAATGTACTCACTGAGGAGGAACTGCAGAAGTAAGTGAGAGGATGAGTTTTGTTTTTTCTTATTAGGCCACACCATATTGGGGTTGTGTGGTGTAGCAATAGCGTGTTCGGCTCGGAACCAAGAGGTCTTGGGTAAAAACCCGAACCCCGTTACCGACTTTACACGACTTTCCTCACATCACTCAAGTGAAAATGAGCATACCAGAATGATGATTATCATGATCATGGGCATTAAAAAAGAAAACCAAACACCAAGTAATTTTTATGGATGACGTCCTCTAGCTGGAGACCCTAAATCTAATGAAAAAAAGACAAGATGCCGAGATTTGAAATATACTTAATTGACGACAAATGTTATGACACAAATTGAATGAGAGAACACAGTGTAACAACCAACAAGTCTTTTATCATCATGAAAACAGAAATAAATCAGTAGAATAGCACTGTGATTTGCGGCACCGTTGTGACTCTTTGGTCATAGTTACAGCAACTTACAGGAAGGGGAATTTTTTTTTTCTTTTCTGGGAAAGGCCAAAATCAATGCACACGCGGATGTCATCCATAAAAATTACTTGGTGTGGCCTTACAATCAAGAGGCCTTTTATGTTGAAAACTCACATTTTTACATACATGTTTAATACACGTGTACTGATATTATGGACACAGTCACACTCACAGCAATATAATCAAATATTTGATACTACAGTGAATTGCCACTACTTATTACATGTTACCGCCGGTACTGGTAGTGGTAGGCATTGCTTAGCCTCCTGTGCAGGCCCCGCGGCGGTGGGGAAGAGTTTTTAACGCATTATTTTAATATAGCTGGCTATCCTATATAGCTGCCGAGAGATGGTTCCATTCTGCCACAGGAGGCTAGGCATAGTTGCCTATCACACATGTACAGTAGTTCACATTTTTGGTTAATGCTGCCCCCTGTCACAGATTTGAGGAACTGCAGTCGTCAGGTGCGCCCATCCTGGAGGGACGTCAGCTGGACAAGGCTCTACAGAGCATGCCCAGGGAGGAGAAAACACTGTCCGGGGAACAACTCAGGTATGGGACATTACTAGTAGGCCATGTTGATTTGATTATATGGATGGCTTCCTCTGGGAACCTCAAAACTGATGCAAGCGTGCGAATACAAAAAAGTTTTGCAAAAAAAAAGTTGCTTTCATTATGAAATCTATGTGGTTTTGTAGGTTGAACAAATGACACAGAGTATGGCTTGGTGAATAAATCTAGTCTTCAAATTCATTTCTTTACAATTTTGTCTTTTTCTTTGTGTGATTTTGGCATTCTACGACATTGGTATTGTTTTCCAATGTTTTTTTTTCATCTTATAATATATATTTGCTCATTTTGCAACTGTTTTGTACGATTTACAGTATGGTTGAAAACATTATTTTTTGAAACAGCCGAAAATTTACGCGCGCGCGGATGTCATCCATATAATCAAATCAACATGCATATGGCCTTAGACCTTGAAAAAAAAAGTTGTGTTTCCTGTTTCCCAACCGACCCTAGAAAAAACTGCCAACCCTAGGCTTTTTTTTCATTGCTGCAAGGGACATAATTAAATGGATATTTTTTTGCTGATCGACAATTTCTAGCTCCATTATCTGACTCCTGAGTGATGAAACGTTATACAATCGGTTTTCCAACATTGACCTTGAAAATATAAGTGTCTAAGGCTTTAGCAAACGCAAGTTTTACTTTGTTAAACTGTATAGAGCTTATTCACCACACGTCATCATGACGTCACGACCCCTCATGTCCCGTGCGACGCCATTTTGGGGCTACAGCGCCTACAGCGAGTTTCCAAGCATTGAAATGGCCGACAAACGTTAGGTAAACTGTCCTTTGTCCTATTACACGAAGAGTTTACCACCACTCATGCCTCTCGTTACTGGAACAAAATAAAATCTGTTGGGATTGACCCGTTTCTGTTGAGTTTTGATCAGTCTGATAGAAACGGCGTCTACCGCCAGCGGAGTCCATTGACGTGACTTAGCTTCGTATTTGGTACTGGGCAGAAGTTTTTACACACAGGATCGGTTCAAGAGTCTGGAAGCGTTGTATCAGGATGTGTAGAAAGTGTTGTGGGACAGTTGCGTGGTGACAATTAAGTACGTTGTAGTCGGGAAACGCAAAAAGTCGCGGCTATTTTGGAACAGCCCCGGAGTGTGTCTGGATAAACAACAAGCAAAGGCGAGGCCATCGGCCGCCATCCTCAGTCCGCACTGCCGCGACTGTGGCTGGACAAGGTGAGTGTTACACGTTGCCAGCGCCCTGTTCTACATGGAGATTTACCACAGAGTAAAGGGACAAGTAGCTCCGAGTCCAACATTTTACCGTGTTCATGGCTTCCCACGTTTCAATCTACATGTACATGTACAGCCCCGTACGCCGCGCCAGGATTAAACACACCGATTTCTGATCAGCAAAGAAAGACTGAAAAGCCAATCTGACAACATGAAAAGTGGACACGGAGCCAGAACAACCCAAAGGACAATGTTACTAACAAGAAGAGTGTCCAAAACGTAGACTGTGGCCCAAAATACACAACTATCGCCAAGAGTTTGCATAGCATTGCATAGCGATAGCCCCAAAATGGCGGACGCCAGGGGGAGAGTCACGTGACAATCTGTGGTGAATAAGCCCTATACAAGTATAAGTTGGATCACTACAGGTTGCCAAAGTCTAAAAAAAAGGTCGTAAGCCAAATACATGCTGCCATTTACGCCACACGACCTCATGGTTTGTTTGTACAGAGAGGAAGTGTCTCGTCTGGAAGAGGAGCTGAAAACTTGTGAGGCTCGCAAGAAGATCCTACTGCACCACAGGAACAAACTTAGGTCAGGCACGGAGGGGTGTTTGTTTGTTTGTTTGTGTTTTTCTTTACTTAAGAATTAAAGACAAAATTTCTTCAGACTTAGACAGAACTAGTAAGACAGAACCAACAAATCCATTTTCACAAATTAGATATGTAAACCTTTCTTCATAATTTTGGCATAACAACATAGCTAGAAGTTTATGTATTTATAATCCTAGTTTTTTCCCCATCTCATTTTTCTCATACCAAAAAGCTGCTAGTAGCCAACTAACACATTTACCTAGATTTAAATGAGACAGATAATGAAATATTTTATTGCATGTTGATGATTATGCTAGTACATGTGTAAGTGTATTTTTTAAGTGACTGTCCTTGGTCCTAAGTCATAGGAAGAAGTTGTTATATAGATCTACATGTACATAAAGGACTTCCCAACTGAATTGTACATTTGTTTACAATTATTACCACAAAAGTATACCTGAACAGTGTGATGTATTTCTGACTATACAGCCTGCATCAGACAGCTACAAACCACCGGCTGTCTAAACTGGATGCCGTACAAGAAGCTGCTAAACAGGAGCACAGGGCACAGGTGGACAAGTGTCGGGAGGATGACTCTAAGGTAGGGAACTTTAAAAAAACATTGAAAATCAGTCTCTACAGCCACCAGAGGACTTGTGGTCAGTATGGTACATTTAGGCCTAGGATGAAAAATGTTGTGTTTCCTGTTTCAGTCCTGAAAAAATTAGGGTCTATAAGTAGGGATTGTCCTTTTTTAGACTTCTTTTAGACTCTTTTTACTTCCCTAGTAGTGGTCCAACTAAGATTTTCAATGTCAATGTTGTTGGAAAACCATTTGTACAACGTTTCATCTCTCAGGTGTCACATCATAGAGCTAGAAAAGGTTGATCAGCTCAAAAAAGTGATTGTACAACGTTTTATCACTCAGGTCATCCACAGTGTCTTGGGCACAGTATTTAATATTGGAAGGCAGAGCCCATCCCTTCTACTGCATTTTGTCTCCCCAACTGAAGTTTGGTCTCATGTCCACACTAGCCTGACACTTGGTCATTCAATATGCAGCTGTAAAAAAGAGAGAGAGAGAGAACATGATGTAAAAGTTTTGTTTAATTTTTGTATGGAGAATGATGGATCAATAGAATTGTCAAAAGTTAGATGGAAAATATTGACTTTGACACAGAGATAAAATATCAGTGCAAGTTTTTATACTTTAGAGTAAAAATACTTTTTTCTTGTTCAAGATGAACACAGACTTGCAAGAGCTGACCCAAACTGTGAGTAAGCTGACGTCCCTGTATACAACAAGTGCAGCTGACGGCTGCAGTACCACAGCCAGTCAACAGGGGGCAGTGTTCCTGTCACAGCTTCCACTGAAGGACCACTTTGTCAAGGAGGATGCCTTCATGCAGCAGCTGACTGACTACACCAAAAGGCAGTTCTTTGATGTGGGTTGATATTTTGCAGTTTGTGTAGTTTTTATCCCCATTAGCTGTTCATTAGCTGGTTCAATGTAAGAAACTCATTACAATTGATAGTCTATACGGCTTGCGTACAAACAAAGCCCCCGGCCCAGATGGCATACCGAATCGCCTCCTGAAGGAAGCAGCACCAGTAATTAGTGCATCCCTGTGCGAGTTGTTCAACTTCTCACTCGCGACCGGCCACTTCCCAAGAGAGTGGAAACAGTCCAACATCTCACCAGTCCACAAGAAGGGAGATAAGACAGATCCCAACAACTACCGGCCCATTGCCCTTCTGCCAACAGTCGCGAAAGTTCTTGAGAGGCTTGTGCACAACAGGCTCTACAAGTATCTTACGGACAACAACCTCCTGAACCACAAACAGTCTGGCTTTAGGAAGGGGGACGGAACCGTTCTTCAACTTCTCCGTCTAATCGACGACTGGGGAAAGTCGATAGATGACCCCAACGTTGCCTGCACTGCTGCGGTGTTCCTGGACGTGAGACGTGCCTTTGACACCGTATGGCACGACGGCCTGATCTATAAACTATCCCGATACGGAATCAGCGGCCCACTCTGTAACT